AGCAACTCCGACGACAACATGCTGAAGAACATCGAGCTGTTTGACAAGCTGTCACTGCGGTTCAACGGGCGGGTGCTGTTCATCAAGGACGTCATTGGGGACGAGATCTGCTGCTGGTCCTTCTACGGGCAGGGCCGCAAGATCGCCGAGGTTTGCTGCACCTCCATCGTCTACGCCACCGAGAAGAAGCAGACCAAGGTATGGGGAAACCTGGGATGTGCCTGCCGTGGGCCCTGCTGCTGCTGCCTGACAGTGGTACCCTGACAGCTGCCCCAGGCTGAACACTGGCACTGTTCAGCTTCTCAGAGGGGTGGCACATGGAGCTCCTCCTGGGGCTCAGAGCAGGGACCACCTGGCAATGGCATGTAGCACTGGGCAGTTGTGATATTCCATAAGGCACCTTCAGTCCAGCTCTTCATCTTTAGGCTAAACCTGTGCATTTAACCAGGTTTGAGGGTTGGAACTAGATGATATTTAGAGTCCCTTCCAGCCCAAATCATTCAATGGTTCTACATCCCTGTGTAAAGAGGGATCCAGGCAAGCAATGGCACATGTTCCCTGTGCTTCTTACCTTTCCCAGGAAAGACCTGTCTGAGCCTGCCCTGAGTGTACAGTGATTTTGGGAAAAGCCCAACTAGTTGCAGGGTCTCAAAGGCTGGAAGCCAATAATGGAATGGAAAGGGTTGTGCCAGAAATAATTTCTGTGGCTGGAGTGCAATTAAGAAATTGTAAAAACAGGTATCAGGGGTTAAAACTGAGGTAATCTGGTGCCTGCAGTGACAGGCAACAGGTAAGAGTGACCTCTTCCCTGGGTGTGCAGGTGGAGTTCCCAGAAGCCCGAATTTATGAGGAGACACTGAACATTCTGCTCTACGAGTCCCAGGATGGGAGGGGACCTGACAATGCACTCCTGGAGGCCACAGGGGGGGCAGCTGGTCGGTCCCACCACCTGGAGGAGGACGAGGAGCGGGAGCGCATCGAGCGCGTGAGGAGGATCCACATCAAGCGCCCTGACGACAGGGCCCACCTGCACCAGTGAGCCAGGTGAGCACCAGGCCCCAGCTCTGGGCAAGCAACAGAGGACCAGGAAGTTCAACTTCTACCCAGCACAGTCTGTAAATTATGTTTTGTAACAAACTCTAGGTTATTTGGGGTATTTAAATGCTGTAGTTGTAGGACAAGAATAAGCGAGGTTACTGGGTGTACGGTGGGTTCTGTAAGGGCCTGTTGAGCAGCTGGAGAAATGCTCTGAATTTTTAGCACTCTTGTTGTTGCTGTTTTGTGATAGAGAGGAGGAGGGCTGGCTGCCTTTGGCTTTGGTAATTATCCTGCACTTTAAACACAAAACAAAACAACAAACAAACAAAAGCTCAGCCAGCCCAGTCATCCTCCTTCCCTCCAGGCACTCCCTGACCCACACTCCTGGCACTCAGGAAAGGCTGGGATCTGGACACAGAGCTGCTGCACAGCTCCCTGTCTCCCGGGTCTGCAGGGCTGGGAGCTCAGGAGTGCCTTGGGGCGACTCCCTGAAGGACAAATGGCACTGGCTGGTGATGTTCCTGGAGTGCTGGGGGCAGAGGGACCCCTCAAAGCAGGGGGGCTGCTCCCTTGGGCCTGGCTCTGGCTCCCCACAGCTCCCAGGACCTGCCCCTCCAAGGGTTCAGTGAAGCTTCTGCAGCACTGAGGGGAGACCCCTCCCTGCTTTATCCCTGCGGTTCAAGGTTAAAATTCCTCCAAAAAGAGGAGGATCAGGAGCAAATTGTCTGTGATTGCTTTCCCTTAGGGTGATGTTGGTACTGGTTATTGCTTAGAACTTTTGCCTGAGCCTGGAGCTGGGGAGTTGGTTTCCAGCAGCTCCCAGGTCAGCAAGGTGTGTTCTGTGCTGTGTAGGAGTCACAGGAATAACTCAGGAGTCACAGCAGGTTCAGTGCCTCCGTGGCAGGGGAGCATTGGTGGGGAGGCAGAAGTTCCCTTCTGGAACTGATCCAGGAGCATTGCCTTGCTCTGAATGAGGGCAGCACCACAGGGAAGAGCAGCAGACAGTGGCCCAGAGGCAGATATTCCCTCTTTGACTTTATCCTGAGCATATTCCAAGTCTTCTTAGCAGAGGCAGCTGTGTGTGGAAGGGCAGAGTGTGGAGAAGGCAGTCTGGTTTTCTGAGAGTGCTTTTCTGTTGTAAATGAATATTTCATCTACCTCCTCAGCTCCCGTTGCATGTTGTGGAGTCAAGTGACAATGATGGTGGGAGATGGGGTATCATTCCATAGGGCTGGAAGCAGAACCACAGCTGTGATAGTTCAGGTAACAAATCCTGGGAGGGAGAGAAACCCGAGGTAGGAAGTGTTAAACTCCCAATTCAGCAGCACTGTGGCCGACACTGGAGCACTCTGGCCTGGGCTAGAGTTTCTATCGACCCTTTCTCTGGAATATTTAGCACTGCCCTTAACTGCCAGAGTCCTCTGGAACAGCAGCTCTGTGTTCTGCTCCACGGATCCCTGCTCCTGGCTCAGGGCTGTTGAGGGCATGTGAACAGTTATAAACCAAAGGTGTTGCAGCACCACCAGCCCTATTACCCCAAGGCTTCTGTTCCACAGAGCAGTTACACCCCAGTTACTCAGAGCTTGTCTGGAGGGGCTGAAATTCAATATGAAGTGTTTGTAGAATTTTGCATCATCAAGTAAAGCTAAAAAATTTCAAAGTTAAGCTGAGGACATCTTTCTAGTAACCAAAGACTTCTCTAAGTTATGGGCAGCTGGTGTCTGTGGCAGGTGGGGTTGTTGTACCTTTCTCCTCTTTCTTCTTCAGCTACTGGTTTATAAGAGCTTAACAGTTACCCTGAGGTTCAGCAGCTTCAGTTCTGTCCTGACAGTTCAGGGCTTCTAGTTTGAGTTTACACTTGTTTGGGTTTGTAGCAGTCCAGAGTGCAGGGGCTGAAGGAGCCAGAGCCTCTCCCCTCCTGGCTGAGATAAGCTGGGGAGCGAGGAAGGGAAGTCCTGGATTGCTGGTTCTCCAGCACTGTGTACTTTGACACTTACTGGTGTGTCACTGGGCTGTTTTGGGTTTCTGAGCTTCTGTAACAGACCTGCTGCCTCTGAGGGGTTGAGACTCTGTGTCTCAGCAGTGGGTGAACAAGGACCACCAGCCCAGAACTGTAGAACACCAACAGTCCTGCAGCAATCCCTGCTCCCTTCAGCTGAGCTGGGTCTGACCTACCTGGGAGATGGGAGACCCCAGACAAACTCCAGCCATGTCCCATGGGGCAGAGCAGGTTCAGCTCCAGGAGGTGACACCAGTGCTAAGCACCTGACAGGTCACATCTATGTGATTAACTTCTCTGTAAATAGAGTCTTAACTGGCTTCAGGCTTTTCTCGTTTGGGTTTTGCAAACTAAGTTCTTTAAAAAACAGGGAATGGTTGTTTTTAATCTTTGTACAGCGGTTTGTAGAGCTGTTGGTTTAGTAAAGTCACTCCAGGAGAGTTTAAGCTCCAGTTTCAGTTTTGTTCCTGTGTTTGTGGGCAGACTCTGCCTTAACACACTCCTGAGTTTACCCTTTGTGCTGGAGTGGTGCACAAAGCTGTGCTGTGGTGGTGGGGTGTCCTTTACCTCCTGCCCCTGTCCTTGAGTGCACACTCTGGTAATGCCATTGCACAAATGCTCTCAGCTCCTGAGCCTCGTTACTCTAAGTGGTTTTGCCTCAGCTCTCAGGTGCAGGTGGGGCTCAGGGCAGGTGTCCTGGGCACAAGCAGCTCTTCAGATTATCCCAGGGACAGCAGACATGTCTGCTTTCCTTCTCCAGCCACCAGCAGTGACAGCATAGTCCAGGAGAGCTCAGCAAAGTCTTCCCTGGGGAGAGATTTTGTGGACCTGCAGCTCATAACACAGGTGGGGCTGCAGGAGAGGTGGCAGTGACCACCCCAGGCTGACACCTCCCCACCTGTGTCCGTGTACCTGGAGCACCAAAGCAGCTGCTCCTGCACTCCCAGAAGCAGGTTTGGATCCCCCTGAGCCCCATGACCTGTGGAAGGCTCTGAGCTCTCATCTCACCTTAGAGCAAAGTGTAGGTAGAACCTTTCAGTCTTAATGGAATTGTTTCATGGACAACAGCAGATTCCTGTTCTGTACAATCATTCTCTCCTGTTCAGACTTAGGCACAAAACAAGCTTCCGCTGGATCTCATTGTATGGTTGATGTTTGCAACATGTACTTTTGTTTTTTTAATATAACACAATAAATTAGAAGAAATTTCATATTTACACGTGAGTCACTTTATTACTTGTCGGAAGCACGATGGCCTCGTGGGCCATGGAGGTGGGAGGAGCTTTGGGGGAGAAATACCACCTCCTTGTGGAGTTAATTTGACCCCCTGGCACTGCTCAGGGCAGAGGCCCCAGGGGGTAAAGGCAGCAAGTCAAGGACCTGAGCATGGGGCATTTTCGCTGTAATTGTGGTGAAGAGACAAGGGGTGGATTTGGTGTAAGTTGTCCATTTTCACTTGGTGTTGTGATGATGCTATTTTGACTGGGGGAGGGGGGAGTTTTTGTTTGGTTGTGTGGTGAACGTGGATTTTTCAGTTTAACTCCAGTTTCAGCTCAATCAAAGCACCACCAAAACCATCTGCACCAGCCCTGCTGTTGCCCTGACCCTCCTCTCATCATTCTGAGCTAAAGGTTTCGCCAGTCTGCCCACAAAAAAGGTGTTTTCAGACCAGAGTTAACATCACTGATCTGCACTTTTTGCAGTTCTCCTGAGTTGTGACTCAAAGTACAGCTAAAGAAGCCTTTTGGCTTCTGTCTTAATCCTTCCTGACCAGTTAGAGCTCTCAGAGACAGACATTTTACCTGTGGAATTGCAGCTTTTGGTTTAAACACGTCCCTGTGACCGTGTAATGAGCATCTCTGCTTACTGGAATGTTACAGCAACATCGTGGATTTTATTTAGCTATAGTTGAGTAGTTTTAAGCTATAAAAAAAGAGCCTAAAAGATGCAAGCAAACTCTCAAATCACAGCAGCCCTGTGGCATCAGAGATTCCAGGGGAGATGTGAGGGCTGGTCTCATCCTGCAGGCTCCTTTCTGCTCCCAGCCAAGGCAGGGCCAGGAACAGGAACTGGTTCTCATCAAGACTTTACCTGGGTTGACACCTGGGACAAGAAAAAGGAGTCATGACCAGTGCCCTGAGGGTATTACACCTCCATGGAATTCTTCTTTGGAGCTCTCAGCTCCTCACATGACCTGCTTGGGTGACACAAAGTGCCTCCCCTCCATCCCCCAACCAATTCCAGGCATAACTTGGTTGAGGGAGGCAATAAGAGGTGGAAAATGTCACCTGAGACCTCATTTTGCAGGTGCTAGTTGAATTTGGGTTAGGTTAAATTCTCTAACTGACCAAGCCAGGGGTGAGCCTTGCTCCCCCATCCCTGGGCCAGCTTGAGGGCAAGCAGCAGTGGCAATTCCTACACAATTCATGGAGCTGCAGCTCCCAGCATAGCCAGAACCAGCTGTTGTGCATCACCTCAGGCAGGTAAACACTGGTGAGTAGTGACTCCTGTACCTCTGCTCTGTGAGAGGATTCAGTTCCTCCTGAACTCCCACGAAGGGCACTTGGCTGTGCTCTCTGCAGGTGTAGGGTGTCACAGGAGGAAGCACAAGGTGTATTCCCGTGCTCAGATGAGGCCTTACCACTGTTAGTTGTCCAGTCTTGTCCTTGAAGACCTGAGGCTCCTTCCCCACAGTGAACACCATCGTCCCCTCCTTCCCGGAGCCGATGCGGAACCGGAGGCTGCAAGGACAGAACCCCCAGGAGTGCTCTCCCCACAATAGGCTTTACTCTAAGCCCCCTTTATTTCTGTTCCTTGGCAAATCTCCTTAGATGAGAGATCAGAGCCCCAGCTTAGGTGAATTTCCTAAACAATTGCATTATCCCCCCAGGCTGATGGGTTTGATGAATGGAATGTCCCTGCCTGGCCCAGGCTTTGAATGTTCCTGGTGCAATTAAGCACTAGAAGTTAAGCAGATCTGACCTAGAGAAAACCACTGAACACACCAAATCTAATTACAGCTGAAAGGCAAAAGCCAGAGAGGAAAGCTGGAGCAGAAGTGCAGGTTTCACCTGCCAGCTCCAATTCACAGGGAGATCAGAGACACAGACCATCCACCTGCCCTCAGCTCGGGGCCGTGGCTGAAGGATCCTGAGCTCTGCAGTCACATTTTGGGCCTCCTCAATCCCTTTGGGAGAGGAGCATTTATCCTCAGGTGACCCCCAACTTTCCAGCTGGCCTTCCTCAGACCTGGGGCTAATGGGATCCACTGGGAAATCACTAAACTCACAACCTCACGTGCAGGACACAGCAGCAGGAACCTGAAAAAGGTGGTTTTAAAGTGCAATCACCTATAAGTAAGTTTGTGGTTTAGGCAGCTGTGCATCCTATCCTGTCTCTCCTGTGCCTACGGAAGCCATGGAATGCTGCTGCATTAGACCTGACCAGCTTCTGGCACTGTCTGCTGGGTGAGGGCAATAGTCTTGACCTGAATAGTCCAGACCTAAAAGGTTTTGAAGCAGGTTTTTCCATAGAATACAGCCTGCCCAGTGGTGCCCATCCACCTTCCTTCCTCACCTTCCCTGCACAACCTTAACGAGGCTTTGCTTGTTGGCCAACATACAGAGCTTTGTCACCGTCTCGAAGACGTGCTCGCACTGCAGGATCACATCGCCCTGGAGAGGAGAAAAGAGGGATAAAGTCACCTGGCACCACCCCAGAACGTGACCACAGAGCAATGGTGCACTCAGGGAGACTCCTTTGGAATGCCAGAGCAGTGACTGCCTGGCAGAAGTGACCGAATTAAACATCCTTTCCAGGGATTATTTAGGATTTAGAGCAACTCTGGCTTTTAAAAAAAGGCAAGAGCATGTCCAGATATGGGAAGGTAGCTGGGGAATGGTCTGGAGCACAAGTCTGATGAGGAGGAATTAATAAGCATCAGTAATTATGTAATCCCAGTATTTTATAGGATGATATTGGAAGCATCAGCAACAAAACCTTATTTCTAACTACCAGCTCACAGGAGCTACATCACAATTTTCTACCTTCTGTTTGTTGTCCTCTGGAACATGAATGACCACGATCCCATCACTCAGGTTACTGGTGGAGATCCCTTCAAAAGAAATCCAAAATTAGAGGAAAACCCACCAAACCCAGCTCCAGAGGGCAAAGAACTGTGTTCTCTTAGTTACAAAATTCTACTTCAAGGCTGACACTCAAACCCTTTGTCCATCCCCCAGGAAAAGCTGTTCCCAGGTAGATCATTGCTCTAAATATCTTTGTAAGACTAAGTTTCAGAAGTTCATCCTTCCCCCAGGGTCTCTGACAGGACATGAAGCCCCACAACGACTCATGGACTCATCACAGAGTCATGGAATGGTTTGGGTTGGAAGGGACCTTAAAGCCCATTCCATTCCACCCCCTGCCACAGGCAGGGACACCTTCCACTAGCCCAGGGTGCTCCAAGCCCCATCCAACCTGGCCTTGGACAAAGGACTCCCAGAGTTACCTTTCAGTGTGGAGTAGTCGATCTTCTGCTTGACCTTGGCCACCTCCACCACGTAGGCCGAGCTCTGGGTCAGCACCAGGAGCCGCTCCCGTGCCTTGAACCCGTTCCTGTCATATTTTATCACGGGGGTCACATACTGGAAACAACGAGTTGGAATCAGCACTTTCACTGCTGCGGGGCCTGGGCCAGGCAGTTGAGTTTTCCTGACTGGAAGCAGCTCAGTGAGGGGCAGCTCTGCCTGTGGAGCTGCAGGCCCAGCTCTCAGCAGCTCCTGCCAAGCTCTGCTCACAGGGATCTGGATTCTTCGTACTGGGAAATCCAGAGAGCAGAACCCTGCTCTGAGCAAGATGGGTCCCCTGTGCCCTCTGTGCCAGAACCATGGGAAATGCATGTACACCCTGGCTCTGCTCCTGCCCTGTACAGCCCGAACAGGGCTAGGAATGGAATCTTAAATAGCTTATTTAGGTACATTTTGAGGCCTGTCTCCAATTTAAAAGCAAGGAAATAGTGGCTCCACTGCTGTTCATCATGCCCTGTGTGACCAACCAGCTCCAGGACTCCAGTGAAGCCTAGTCCAGGGGTTCTGTCCTTCCCTTACCTTGATGTTCTCCCCTTGGATGAGCTGCAGCACTTTGGGGTTTATGTCATTCACTTCTGAGGAGCAAACCAGAAAGAGAAACTGAGTGTAGGTGACAGACCTATAGCCACAGACAGTTACCACTGCCCCAGCCAACACCAGAGAGCTGCATTGTCTTCATCCCAATTGTCCTCGTCCCTCTGGCACAGTCCCTTCCAAACTGAGGGTAGTCACTTCCAGCCACCCCCAAACCCATTTTGGTGACTCTCCTGCTTGATAATTAATTCACACTGGGAGTTTCTGCCCATTCTTGAGTCTGTTGGTTCAGACCCTGATCCACCCCAGCCCACAGGGAATTCTGCTTGGGTTTCTGGCTCTGTGTCCCAAAGGGATCCCAGTACCCCCACTGTGAGAATCAATCTGGCAGATTGATCTCTGAGTAGGTGTCACTAGACATGGCAGAGGAAGGAACTCCAACAGCAGGGCCCAAATGCAGGAGGTGATGCTGCCTCTGCCAGGTGGGAATTTCTCTTGGAAATGAGTCTGTTTGGTCCAACAGACCTTCCCTGAGCAGGAGCCCATGGCCAAGGCCCTGGGGGTTGCTGTGCACTCACTCAGCCGTGTGTCCAGGAAGGGCTGGTTGATGCTCTGGACATATCCCTCCTTCTTCCCTCGGAAAACAGCACTGGTCACCACCTTCTGCTGCAACTGAGGTGGGGAGGAACAGCCTTTATCCTCAGAGATCCTCCATCAGGAACATCAGGTCTGATGTGAACACTGTTACTGCCCAACATCCTCCCACTCATGCACTGCCCACCTGACTATGGAATCGTGGAATTGTGCTGCATTTCTTCCAACAGCTTTAGGCTATTCCTGTATTACACCAAATAAAGGGGCAGCAGGGACAATCCTACAGATTTTTCTGATTTATGGGTCTTTTCTAATTACATGGAGTGCAGTTTTAATGCCCTAAGATAAAGCCCCACGTGTCTGGAGGAGAACTGCTCCATACATTGCAAGAGACACTGGAAGGAATCCCTGACTCCAGGCTCCCATGTGATTGCTCTTATCCCTGAGTGGGTGAGAGCAGCAGCAGCAGGAGGTGCAGCCTGTATTCCAGATGCTCCATAGGGAACAGGGGTCACTCAGGCACAACGTGTTTGAACTCACACACTGGCGCTCAGGTGTTGGTTACCTGCGCTTTCCTCTCGGCAGTGACCCCCCGGCAGTATTTCCTCACCAGGTTCCTCATGCAGATCTTCTGGAGCAGCTCGGATGTCTACATCAAAAAAAGTTAAAATAAAACAGTAGGGAAGTTGTGCAAACAGGTCTGTCTGTGCCACGAGCCTAAAAGCTCGTGGGATTAATTTTGTCTTTATAGGGCTTGTGAGTTCACTTTTCTGTCTGTGCATTTTTCCTTTCTATTGTTTAAAACAACACAGAGCTCCCTCCTTCCCCTTGGAAACACAAACCCGGGGCCATTCCTCCCACTCCCATCCAGACACAGCCGATCTCAGGCTCTTCCAAAGGGGACAAGCCAGCAGATCCCTGCTCTTCTCCCACACGAGGAGTGCACACACATGACCATGGAACAGAAGCACCTTCACCTCTCCCAAAACCTCCAGCAGCACCCACCTCTGCCAGGATGGAGGGAGGTTGGAGCCAGCTCTTGTCCAAGACATTTTTTGGAAGGTGGTCTCGGAGCTTCACCAGGTAGTTGTACTGGGCAAGCCTCACAAACTCCCTGTTCTCCGGGCAAAGGGGCTTCTTCCGATTGATGAAGCCAGTTATGAACCTACAGAAAACACCAAACCAGAACTGACATGTGACCTCGAGAAATCCATGGAGTGAGGTGAGGGACAGAGGACACACAACAGGTTAACAGATCACTGATGTTAACAGAGGTACAGCAGTGGCAATCTTAAGCTTTATAATGTCTTAAATATTAACTTTTTTTTTCCCAAGTTCTGTTGGCCAGAACATGGTGCTTTGGAGTCTGAAAGGAAGATCAGCTCTACTTTGGGAGCTGGGTTTAAGGGAGTGGAGAGGGAGGACGAAAGGGGATGGAGGGGTGTGCAAAGTATTAGGAAGCAATTGTTCCCTGTGAGGGTGGTGAGGCCCTGGCACAGGTTGCCCAGAGAAGCTGTGGCTGCCCCATCCCTGGGAGTGTCCAAGGCCAGGTTGGATGGGGCTTGGAGCAACGTGGTCTAGTGGAAGGTGTCCCTGCCCATGGCAGGGGTGGGACTGGATGAGCTTTAAGGTCCTTCCAATCCAAACCGTTCCAGGATTCTATGGTTTGGAAATACAAATCAGAGCCACAGAAATTTGTGCCAGTCAGAGAATTCCCGAGGAGGTGCCAGGCATTTCAGACCAACCCCTGGCACTTGTCCTCCTACCTATAACCGCAGCTTGGAAATGGCTGGGAAGGAGCTGGTTTTGACTCCCTGCACTGTCAGTACTCTGGGCTCGTTGTCCAGAGACCATCTCCACGCTGGGACTCCCCTCCCACAGCCCTCCCCAGGACCCCCCCCCACGCTGGGACTCCCCTCCCACAGCCCTCCCCAGGACCCCCCCCCAGTGATAGTTACTTCCTGATTGTCTGAACTGCCCACGTCCTCTTCTTGGCCTCCTTCCGTGCCAGCGCTCCTCGCCAACACGCCTCCAGCTTGATGGCTGCAAGAACAATCAGGTATCAGAGGGCCTGTGCCAAGCTGTCCTTTAATCCACACAGCAGAAGATAGAACGGGTTCTCTTGCAGCTCTAAAGATCAGCTGATGGGAACAGCAAGAAGTTTAGGATGTTTTCTTCTCCATCATAAGTGGTTGATCCAGTTTCAGCTGCACTGGGGAGCTCAACCCCAAGGCAGGGCCAGACCTTGTCACTGCTCAGCCTCCCACTGTCCCTGCACACAGCCCATCTCAGAAAGCTGCCCTTCGAGCCTGCAGATTTTAGATCAGCCTGTCTGATGTGATAAAAGGGTTTTTTTCCCCCCAGCAGCTGATAATCAACTCCTGGGTACTCCAGAACATCCCCATGTGTGTGGCAGAAAGTGCTGCTGCTGCTCAGAGCTGCTCCCACAGCTGGTGCCTGGCTGGGGCCAAGAGCAGCTTGTGGTGTGAGGAGCCAAACACAACTAAAAGGGTCTCTGTAACTGCTCTGTGAATGCTCTTTGTGCAGCTGACACCTGCATCTCACCCGATACCCACAGCCCTGCAGGGAAGCCACGAGTGTTACCCACAGCACCATGGATTTGTGACCTCCCAAAGCTACAACTCCCATGGAAAGCCCAGCCCTGAGAGAATCCTCCACTCCAGAGCCAATACCTGCTTTCCTCTTCTTCTGGTATGCTCTTTTCCCAAGGAATCCTTTGTATTTGGCCTGTAGTCTTGAAACTGGAAAAAGAGGCAGGGACATCACTTGTACCTCCAGGACCAGAGACTGAGGAGCCGAGATCCCACACTCCACCAGCACAGGAGGGGCTGCACAACCACCAGGGAACAGAGGAGCCACAACAGCAACAGGCCCAGGAGTGGCCTGTGTAGGTACTGTGCCCTTCATTTATGCTTTTCAGGCAGGTGCAGACAGGTGCCACCAGGATGAGACAGGTGAGATCCCAATTCCAAGAGAAAAGTACTCAGTGCATCTAGGCATGGACTCATAGGACTGAGGAGCTCTGAAGGCCACAGATCCAAGACTCAAGCAATAGAGCCAGTGATTTCTCCCCACCCTGGAGAAAGATTACTGAGTTTTCCATGGATTCTGCAGAGCTATGCAGACCAGGGGGCTCAGCTCCCACCACGGTGCACAGAATCCCAGAGTGGTTTGGGTTGGAAGGGACCTTAAAGCCCATCTTGTTCTACCCCCTGCCAAGGGCAGGTACACCTTCCACCAGCCCAGGTTGCTCCAAGCCCAGTCCAACCTGGCATCTCCTACATCAACCTGGAGCCCAGAACACGGTTCACCAGGCCCTGCTGCTTAGTCTGTGTCAGAGGAAGGGAACTAGAACCTTACTCAGCAGTTGTTTCCTGTACTCAAAGGCATCTTCTGTAGCAAACAGAGTCTTTGGGAAACGAATGAATATTTTGG